TAGATTCACAAAAAAATTCAATTTTTGGTTGATAAAATGAAATGTGACGAAATATTAATGCACTTCCAATCCATAACTTTCTATTTAAATCAGTTGTAATAAACTGAAAATATGGTCCTAATGCAGGCGGAGGCGGTTTTGGTGGACGAGTAATAGTAGATGTTTCAATGGAAGTTGATGCAGGAGGACCTATATCTTCTAATTTTGATGTTGTCGCCTTTGGTATAGGACAATCAGCATTATTTTGAGGATTCGGATTAACAGGATTACGACCATTAACATCTAAATCACCGTATTGATCTTTGATTCCAGTAATATGTTTATCAGTGGTTTCTTCTATCATAATAATGTATATATTTGATCCAGATAAACACAAAAAATACAGATTGTTCTGAAATTAAAAAAAGTTTTGGAATATATTCAAGTATCATTACTATACAAGTCAATGAATAGGAGTAAAAATGAAGAAAGATCATAATTACTAAATTGCTTTGTTTAGCTGGGCAGTTCCATTGTTCACTCTGAATAAACTAAGAATATAATGAAAAATAAAGGAATTGCTCTCATGTTTTCCATAAGTAAGCTGTTTTTTAGTTATGAACCGGACGTCTATCTGTTCGGGATTTTGATAGATGTTTCAAAATATTAATATCTTAGTAGCCCCATGTTGGTCTCAAAAATCTACGAGTGAGAAGAAGCTAGACATTTTTTTTTTTCGATATCGAAACGGAGGCAATTATGATAGTGATATTCATTGAGGTCTCTAATAGATATGATGTTTTTGAATTGATTCTCATGAGGTATACTCAAATATGTTTCCTTATGAGATTGAACATTGTCTATCTTTAATATATAACAAGTATTATCAAATATTGTATTTCGAAAAATAGATTAAATTCTAGATTTCATCAATAAAATGCATTCTCAAATAAAAAATCTATTTAATTTTAACTATATTTTTAAATGTATGATTTAGCTAGCATATCTTAGCATGAGGTCATCCAATGAAACTAATAGGAAATTTTAAGCAGATTTAATGAATTTCTCTTTTTGATGATTCAAGCCGTCATGAAATACTTTCAAATTGATAAGCATCATCTTTATAGGTAATGGCTGATTATATACTATGTGTAATCAATCAATATAGCATTCTTAAAAAGTTCAGAATCTTGATAATTCTATGTCCGATCTTTCTGAGAGTCTCTGAATAGCTGATATAGACTTTTTTTTATTGTCTTGGTTTCTTACTCGAATAGAGCATGAAAAATATCATCGAGCTGTATATGTTCTATTGAATTTATACCGGTCGATGAAGTTACTTCAATTCAATTAAATATCAAATAATTATCAACACTAAATTCATGATAATAAAAGTAGAATATATACTTTTAATTAATTTTTCATAATCAGAATATATATATATATATCACTTTTTATCAATAAACATAAAAGAAAATATTCAGAAAAATCCATCATGCCATTTTGTTCATGTTGTATATGATTATAGTTCTGTTGTGATGACACTAAAATTTGTAACTAATGAAAGGAATACTATGTTTTGATTTAAATAGCATTTTAATTTTATATTAGTAAGAAAAATATTACACATAAAGACAGGTTAAATGCTAACCAGAATCAGACTCACACTAAGTCAAACAAAGACGTCACCTAACTGGATTTTTGAATACTACATTACAGTCCAATATAAATTATATCACTGAAGCTAAACTCAAAGAAGAACATATCATATTGTGAGAGTTATTCTACTTAGGGCATACCAAAAATAGTGACGGAAGTTCGGTAATTCCTTATAAGAAGCTTTAAGAAACTTTGTCTCTGCACGATCTGATAGAGNTAAAATCTACTTTCTATTGTACTTTTTGTTTTAAACAAACTAATGATTCCTGTGGAACAAGACAGTACACAAGGTTTTCTTTTGAAATATCCCATCCCATGGTACAGAAAGTTTTTGAGCGTTGTGCTATTCCATGTGAGATAAAAAGTTTTCACAAAATATTCCATTTCATCCCACGCGGAGCCCCGATAACAAAGATGACTAGAACAGGATATTAGAAAAAGTGTCAGAAAATAACACTATGTTTAGACGGCGAGTCTATTCACGATTAAACTTGTGCTTGATTAAAAGTTGTGCATGCACACGTATAAACGTTCTTTTTCATTAATCATGATTAGCAGTGTATGCATGCACAACTTGTTCCATCCAGTAATCATGCATTCGATTGAGGTATAAAAGGAAGGACTGCGTAGTGTATTGATCATTCTAATAAAAAATATGCGTCCTCTCGCTGTCTACTCATTTATGAAGCGACACAAGTCAATTGTCTCACGAAAATACAAACGATCAAAACATCGATCGTTTGATATTCTGCTATTTTTACGATGTTTGAATCCGATTACTCGACAAGAACGCTCAATTTGGAAACATCCGAGAAGTTCAACATTTTTCGAGTACGACATGCCATTATTCAATGCAGATGTTTTCCGTGAAATTGACTTGTTACAGGAGAAGCTCCTGTTCGACGATTGTTATCTTTTACTCGAACATAGATTTGACGAATGGATCGACGTCGATTCTTGATCTGTTCGATTGTTCGGTTACACTCTTTTTCGTTCAGTCGACTTGGAATCATTCTCCAGCCTTCTCGATTTCGATGACCATTCAATTGCTTTGCAATTGACTCCCCCTTCAGCAAACTGAGTAGCAGACTCGTTTCCGAATCTGACCAAACAGTTCGTTTATTGTCAATAGTAGTCGTGTTATTGTTGCTAGTTATTTCGATGTTGTTTTTGTTCGAAGACAATTCCATATTTAAAAACAAATCGGAAAAAATTTATTTCAATCTTTCAATTGCGGTTATTTAAGGAGGTAGGCGACAACAATTGTCTATAACAGCTAAAAATCGAGTAAATGAGACAAAAATGTTCTTTTCACAGAACAATTGCTTCAAGAAAGAGCGAGAGTTGTTGTTTGAAACAAAAAACTCGAATCCAATCAGATCATGAGCCTCCGTTTTGATTACAAATACTATGAGCGACGCGTTTAGACGGCAATCGTGCACACATATGCATACATAGTGCTATGTATGCACACAGTTGTGCACGTTTAATACATGCATAACTTTAATCACGCACAAGCTGTTATTCATGATTAAGCGCGGATTTAGACGACGAATTATGCATGCATAGCAATGCATGCATAGCAATGCATGATCGCCTTAATCATGCATAAGAGCGCCGTATAAACATAGTGTAAGTAATAATTGTCGATTCTGGTTCAAAAAAAGCAAATGATCACATGACAGATGTCGTTACGAAACAGTCACTGAGATATTCATTTGTTTTCGAATTTTGATTGGTCAAAGATAATAAATCATTCCATATTTAATACAATCTGAAATATGTGCCTTTTTGCGAACATTTTTTTTTTTATCAATCAAGCTTTTCGTTTTTTTTTACCTCATTCTCCTAGACTTATCAGTAAAAGGCGTATTAAAAATTTTAGTAGTTTATTTTTTATATCGACTGATCTTTTTCTTTTTAAATGAGTTCTGTATCCCGTCGATCAACATTACTTATTGATAGTTTTAATCGTTTACATAACTATTTGCGTATATCACTAACAGAACGGTGTAATTTAAGGTCATACACATATTTTCATAATAATCAATAACAACATATTTATAATAATATAATTGTATAGATGTCAATACTGTATGCCTGAAAAAGGCGTGGAACTGTCACCAGCAAATCATATACTAACTACAAATGAAATTTTACGTCTTATTCGTATTTTTACAACGTATGGTGGTATTAATAAAATTCGTTTAACCGGAGGAGGTACGTCGTAATAACAGTTAAGTAGCTTATTTTTTTATGCACGCATATTTATTTAGTAGAATATTTGTTGTTTCTTTTTTAAATCTTCATTTTATTAACATCTTTTTAGAACCAACAATCCGTAAAGATCTTGTTGACATTGTACATGGAATACGTTCATATTCATCAATTAAAACAATTGGTATAACAACAAATGGTGTTCTTTTACATCGTTTACTTGAACCACTTGCAAAAGCTGGTCTTAATTCATTAAATATATCATTGGATTCATTAGTTCAAGAAAAATTTGAATTTCTAACACGACGTGCAGCATTTACACGTGTTTTGGCAAATATACGTTTAGCATTGGATATGCCAAATTTATATCCATTAGTTAAAATAAATTGTGTTGTTATGCAAGGTATAAATACAGATGAATTAATTGATTTTGTTGAATTAACACGTGATCAATCAAATTTAGCTGTACGTTTTATTGAATATATGCCATTTAATGATAATAAATGGAGTGAAAAAAAGTATTTTCCATATGAAGAAATGTTAAAAATAATAAAACAAAAATATGATTTAGAAAAGGTTCGTCAAGAAGATAAAAATGATACAACAAAATGGTATCGTGTAAAAGATAATTCTTATCAGGGAAAAGTTGGTTTTATAACATCTATGAGTGAACATTTTTGTTCTACATGTAATAGAATTAGAATTACAGCTGATGGACAATTGAAAGTTAGTTAATAAAATTAAGAGATGGTTTTACATTCGAAAAAAAAAGTATCTTTAGGTTTGTCTATTTGACAATAAGGAAGTATCTTTACGTGATGCTCTTCGATCAGATTTCAGTGATGAGGAAATCTATTCATTAATACAACGAACATTATATAAAAAAGAAAAAGAACATTTACCAGTCAATATTTTACCAACACAACAAAACCGTCCAATGATTCTAATCGGTGGATAACAAAAAAAAAACTAAACCGTGTCTATCATTTGTATAAGAAAGCAATACTTGATAAAATATGATTGCTTTTGTTGTTTTGTTTATCAAGTGTTTGATTGTTTTTATTTGTTATTATGTTTTAATATTCGTTAATTTTTATTTTCATTTAAAAAATAATAAATGTTACAGGGCTTTTTTGTTTCAGATAATGTTGGAATCAAAAGAAATTCTTCTTTTATTTATTATCACTTTCCTTGGTATAGCAACAGGAGAAGAGTGTGTAAGTACATATTTTGTTTTTTGTTTCTTATATTATTAGTAAAAATATGCTGTTTATATCGCTATATATCACTTTTACTTATAGCTGTTCATTTATATCAAAAAAAAAAAATAATCGATTATAATCATTAACCTTAAATGTATACTAATTAATACGAAAAGCAAAAGTGAAAGCAGTCCGATATTTTTAGAACATAGGCAAGGCTATGGTGTTGTGTTTTTCATCTATATTATATTCTTTATGGTCTTTCTTGATGATTAATTGCTTTCTTTTTATTTTCTTTGATCGAACTCTTTTTTTCAATCTTTCATATAATCGAAAGAAAAAGAAAATACTTTGTAATAAAAAAATTTGATATAAAGGGTGACCGCGAAGTCCTGTCTCGATTTAAATAATATGTTTTTCTTTAACAAAATACGCGATTCAAAATTTTTCTTTTTAATGAAAAGATGCAGTAAAAGACTCTTTACAAAATGGTTTTTAATTGACTTCTATAGCTCATATAGTAAGAAAATTATAGGCTTGGCAATGTGCTTTACGAAAAAGAAAAATTAACTATGAACTTTCTTCGTATGTTAGATCTTTCATTGAAAATTTCGCAACTACATCAAAACAAAAGACTCTTCAATCGGGTTCGTTCTGTTTTAATCTGAAATGATTGCTTTTCTTTGTCTAACTGCAAAATCAAACTTCGATCACGTTTTCTGTTTCTTACTTGGGCACATTGTTGGAAATGGAGGTTTTCAACTTTTGAAACTTCATTCTCGGGCACATCATCGGCTCTAGAAAATCTTTTTTTAGAGAAAACGAGAAAGAGTGCATTCAAAAGTACCAAACACAAACTGAGTTATCACTTTTTCTAAGCTTTTCATGAAAATAATAGAAGAAGAAAAAGTTCAAGTCGCAAAAAATTCCGAATTTACAAAGTTTTCATCTTTTTGCGCCTCTTTTATAATCTACTTAGTTTTCTTGATTGGAGTTTTGAAATAAAAGTTTAGGTATGATTTTGTAGTGAATTTCAAGACGCGTCTATTAAAAAAAGAATTCGCTCTAAGGAATCTAAATTACAGGAGTTCAAGCAAAAATACCAAGATTCAATTCACCGTTGATTTTTCTTTTTCATGAAGCACATTGCAAAGCCTATAACTTTCTTATTATATGAGCTAGTGGGGTCAATCAAAAACCATTCTGTAGAGCGTCTTTTATTGCATCTTTTCGTTAAAAAGAAAAATTTTGAATCGCGTTTTTTGTTAAAGAAAAACGTATTATTCAAATTGAGACAGGACTTCGCGGCCACCCTTTATATATATATATTCATCTTTATTTATAATTTACTTTAAAAAAATATCTTTCAATTTAGTCGAAAACAAAATATACTGTGTCGAAATGTTATAATGTTCAAGAATATCAATGGTTGATTGAAATACCCACTACTCAACAATCTTGTAAAGGAAAATTAGTGGCTCAACCTAAATCAATTCCATGCAGTAAGTAAATTGGGTGATCGAAATTTCGGCCCGCGAAATTTTCGTTTCGGTTCGAAATTTCTGTAGGCTCTTGGCTGGTGATCTAATTGATCTCATTAATCCCTAAAATAAAAAAAACCTAAACTTTTGTAGTTAGTAGTTAGATATTGTAGTGCTGAGCAGAACGTCATAATGGGTGTGGTCATGGATGGTTCAGATATAGGTGTCGTGTGTGGAGGTGTGAGTGTCTAGGTTTTCTCTTTATTGACACCCACCCACACACACCTATTATGATGTTCTACTCAGCGCTACGACATGTAGCAATTAACTAAAAAAAAATTAGGTTTCTTTTAGGGATCAATAATGTCAATTCAATCACGGGCTGAAAGTTCTAAAGAAATTTTGGCCTGAATCGAAAAATCACTGAAATTTGGGATTAGAACAATAATTCAGTGAGTCGATATTCCTGTAGCCCAGTGAATTTTGATAAATATATATATGAAAAAGAAAATAAACTCATTTATCTTTAATTAGATTTCGCCTGTCCAAAAGGACAAACATTTGATAGAGATGATCTTGGTTGTAACAATTGTACTGCTGGCACATTCTCACTTGGTGGTGGTCATCAATATACATTTAATGAATTTGAACCTAAATCAATACCACCAGAACTTAGCCTCAAAGGAACATCATTGTTTTCCTTATACCATGATGATTGTAAAAAAAAAGAGTAAGATTTTAATAAATCTCTATCTAATATATTAACAGAAAATAAATGTTCTAGACTTTGGAAAGTGAAAGGAAATGTACTACTAGGTGATGCACAACCTAATTGTGCGATTTATCTCTCACTTCAATTTAAACTTGAACGAGCTGGATCAATCAATCTAACATATAATTTACCCACATCATATGTTTTTGGAACCGTAAATAATGATATAATTTATTTGTTTAGCATGAAAAAAAATATCTTATTTAGGTTTCATCACGATGTGATTTTAGTATTGCAGATGATGATGATGGCGATGATGATAGTGATAATGAAAGGGATGCAAGAAAACGTTCTATTTTTACTCTATCACCAACAGGTTATGGTGTTTGGAAGGATAAAAAGGTAAAACAGATTTAAATTTTTATTACGTTCTATTTTAAAATGATTTATCATATAGATTACTATTAATGAGCCAGGAGAGTATATACTTTCATTGTATACTATTAGTCTTAATGCATTCCATTTTCCATTTGCAATTCGGTCAATCATTATCGAAGGTTAGAAACTAAAACAAATAAGGCCATTTGTTTTTACTTGTTTTTTTTTTCTATTGCAGGAAGTTCATTCCTTCAAGACTGCATTCCATGTCCACCAGGTAAACTAGACAGTGGCTATATCAAAGTTATCACTAATGTGAAACAAGTGCACTAAGGATTGCTGAGAGTTATAGAACTAGTACCGTGACTAGTCTCATTTTTGAATATTAAAGTGAATAACACGATTGTTAGAACTCACAGACTATGATTTGTATTGGTCACAATTTGTGATGAGAGAAGATCGACAGAGATTTAGATATTTGTCATATTTTTCTCCTAAGTACACATTGTAACAGAATTATTAATAACATCTTGTTTCATTCTAATTGAAGTATGTTAGTAATTTTGATAGATATTGCCAAAACGTTCACTTTCGAAGCAAAATTAGCTTCATTATGATTTACATTTTAATTTCATAGGAGTTTTTATGAGAGCTATAAATTTTCTTTTAGGTACATATGCTTCAAATTCGGGTTCTGCTACTTGTATACCATGTGAAAAAAATACTTATGCATCAAAAGAAGGTTCCACTAAATGTTTACCTTGTAAACATGATACTGAATATGCAGGTAAAAGATTTGCTGAACAATTAATTTCATTTATCAAATATTGAACTAGATGAAGGATCATCAGTATGTTTACCAAGACCAAAATGTAAATTACAACATTATCAACAAGTATTCATTGGATGTGATAAATCTGATACGGTAAATTCATGTTTCTTTTGATGAAAAAAAAAACAATCAAATATACAAATCTATTAGGCAACAGTTAAATATGAACCTATTCAACCAAAAGTGTGTGTAGATGATATTTCTCTTCCAGAAGCCAAATCGTTACCTTGTGGAACATGCAATCCGTTTGTATCTCTAGTTTTTTTTTCTTCGCTTGTTTAAATAAATTTACTTTTTATTTTATAGTGGTATGTATAAGAACAAAGATACTGGTCGTTGTGAATTTTGTCCAGAAGAAACTTATTCAAATGGAACTTTAAATGAATGTCGTCAATGTAAAAGTAAATTATCAGTAGTACCTGGTTTATATTATAAAAATTGGAATGAACTACCAATCTATCTTAATAGAAGTTATATGTCTTTTGATGAAACTAAAAATAGTATGTATATCATTTTTATTTCATATATTTAATAATTATTTCTTTAATTTATTTTTAAAGTAAAACAATTCGCTCGTGATCGAAGTTGGGTTAGTATTAATTTATGCATATAAAGGACGGATCAGAAGTATTGATTTGTTTTGTATAATCAATTTTTATAAATTGAAATATGTGTGTTTAAAATTATTTCTATCATTAAAAGATTCATTTAAGCACACACTACGAAATAACTATTCAGTGATCCGATTGACTCATCGAGTAAGAAAGTTATAAGCTTAAAACAATGCTTCACAAAAAGTAAAAATAAAATGTGAATGTTTCAGAATATAAAAATAAAATAGTGACACTACTAAGTACATAGTTTCACTATATTTGTCATATCTGCCCAGATCTTAATTTGCTGATTTTTGTTTTTATGTTCTGAAACATTCACAGTTAATTTTTACTTTTTGTGAAGCATATTTCTAAGTTTATAACATTCTTACTAGATGACTTAGTGGAGTCAATGAATAATCATTTTGTAGAGCGTGTTTTACTGCTTTTTTTTAAATCATAGTGACAATTTTACAAACTCATGTTTCAGTTTAGAAAAACTTATCATACAAAATGAGTCAGCATTTCTGCCCCACGCTTTATATATATATGTTTATTTTGATTGTGCCATTTTTGTTGAATAGATTCCAAGTATAGATTATATATCATCTCAAGCACTTCCTGATGCACTCTCTGTATTGAACTTAAATATTGTCAAAGGTTTTCGTACAACAGAATTAGCAAAAGTTACTAAAGAATTTGGAACATTATTTTTTAATTTTTCAATTCAATGTCAATCATCATGTACATTGTTTTTAGTTTCTCAGGTAATTTGAATAGTTAAAATTATATTAAATAAAAATTTTGTTGACTAGGATATTTATAATGATAATGATGATTGGGAAGTTATTCAAAAATGGAATGTAAAGAATCAAGTTGATCATAAAGATATAGTTAACTATAAGTATGTTTTAATTTAAAGGAGAAAATCGTTAAGCCATAAAATTGATCCTACTTCGATATTGATTTGATTATTTCTCTAATAGTCTATTCAGATGTCAGAAGTCAGTTGCCGTTCGAATTAGACCATTAAACTTAACTCCAACGACATGTGACTGACTTAAAATTCGAACAGCAACTGACCTTTGACATTTGAATTGACTATTGGAAAAACAATTTCACTGTTTAACGACTCACCCTCTTTTCTATTGTTAATTAAAATTTATTTATGCATTTTATTATTATTAGATATTCAATTCAATATCGTGATGAAGTTATATTTAGTTGGCTTTTTACATCAGACGGTGCAAATAAAGGTGTTGATGAAGTTCGCATTTATCAAATTCGTGTTACAAATACAGTACTTGGAGGATCTGATCGATGTGTTAGTTGTTTAACGACAAATGATCAAGAAACTGAGTAAAACTTCACAAGAAAATTATTTCATTATTAATTTTTATGTTTAATTTAAATAGTTGTCTATCATGTACTCCTGGTCGTATTTTATCAAATAATACATGCATTCCTTGTGTAGCATCTACAATAGCTAGTCGCAAGCGACCAAATGATCTTGTTCCGACAATATGCAAACAATGCACAAATAATACAATAGCAGATGGTGGTATTTCATGTTATGTACCATGTAAACAAGCATTCGATGGAAATATTCAATATGATTTAAGCGAAATATCAACGTATAAAAAAAGACAAATATTTTGTTATTGTTATTTTTAAATGAGATTAATTAAATTTCTTTTAGAATTGAATTTCATGGCTCAAAATTATTTACACAAAAAGGTAGTGGTTATTTTCATTTATTTAATGCAAGCATCTGTGGTAAAACAAGTGTTACTTGTAGAAAAACATTAGTACGTAAAGAACAATTTTAAATAAAAAAAAACAAATCTTTGTTTTTTGTTTTTAGACACCAGATGAATTAAAACGTTCAAAAAAACAAACAATAATTGAGTCTCAATTATGTCGTATGGGTACTGTACCCGATAAAGATGATGATGCAATATCCATAGCCTATGTCGATGAGTAAATATTATTTTGAATATAAGTTCTTTTTATTGAAACGGCGACCTAAAATGAATGTTGAAGTATATAGGATGAAAATTTGAATCCATCCTTCTTCTCCATCTACGGGCCATGACAGTTGTAGATATACGATTATAGATCTTATATGAATAACGTCTCGTTCTAATATTTGAACTACTTCGTTATTGTATTTCTGAAGGATTAAGTAAAAACATGCGAAAGAAATATGTTTCAAAATAGATAAAAATAAAGTAATCTTTCTGTAATTAGCAATAGCAGCTATTTGAATTCCGAAGGAATTCTACTAACGAGTTTGTTTTTTGTTTAGTTTCGGCGAAGATTTATTAAATGTTTCATTATCGACATCAAAATATTTTCCACCTCTTCGTTCTGATTATAATTTACCTGACATAACACTTGTTTATCGAGCCAATGCATCAACTAGTCAATCAAGTTGTTCTGAACGTATTACATATTTATCATTACGTTGTGATCATCTATTAGATGATGAAAAACAAAATTCATCAATAAAATATAAATTACAAACTCCAAATGATTGTGTAACCGGTACTTGTGATGGATGCATATTTTCATTTCTTTTACGAACACCTTTTGCTTGTCCAATATGTGGTGATGATACAAATGGTTATCGAACATTTCTTGGTCCATGTAAATTTGGTCGACAAGAAGTTCGAAAAATACCTTATCCGTATGTTACTTAAAATAATTTTTGTTTTCTTCTATTAAATGAAACGTTTGTTTTATTTTTTTTTTTATATAAATAGATATTGTTTACATAATTTAAGTGAAACAATTGAAACTCGTCGATGTTCTATTTTATCACTGGAATTACAAATAATTTTTGGTTTATTTATTATAATTGCAGGTATTCTAGTATCAGTCGTTATTATGTGTTGGAGAAAAAATCGAAAGTAAATTTTGATTTTAATGAAAAATATATTTGTTTTTTCTTTTTTCCTTTTAATATTATTCTTAGACTTGAATATCGTTATATGCAATTAATTGAAAATACGAATCCCGATGATGATACACCAGTTGATAATATGTGTGCACAAATTAGTGATGAAGAAGATTCAGATAATGAAGTACAATTTAAAACACAATCAAGAGCAAAAAAAATTATGAATGTTGTTCGAAAAGCTATACGAAAAGTAGAAAATAATAAAATTATTTTATTTAATGAATATTTTTCATTTTATTTTATTTAGAATTCTAATAATGGACGCTCTGAATCATTAGGTCGTGACAGTTTTTTATTGACAAGTACATCAACAAATGAGGCTTAAATCTTGCGACATTCCCTTAACTTTTTCGTTTTTTTTTCTTACTTGATCTGCTTATTTAAATCTTAACAGTGACAGTTCTGTTCTTTTTTTTTTAAATTTTATTCTGACTCAAAATTTATTTGTATTGTTTTTTTTTTTTCTATTCTTTTTCTCAAACTTTATTTTTACCGTCCGTTAACATATTATGAAATTCTTTACTCAAACATTGGATCAAACTTATTTTATTCTGAATCTCTCTTTCTGATTGTTGTATTAATGTGCCAGTATTTATGTTTTGTTCTGCATGTCAATATTCTAATCACATATTAATGTTGTATTTTTATCTTCAAAATATAATTTGACAATAGAAAAAATTATAATAACTTCGAATGATTTATTTTTATTTGATAAGATTATAAATGAATCATATTCAGAATTTGATTTCAACTTGATGAACAACAATACAAATAGTTCGAGATTTGGTAATTATTAGTATTACAAATCTCTAAGTCTTATAACCTTTTAGAATGATCTTTGTACTTTTACAAAACTATTATTATTCTTATGTACGAGTCTGGTTGTCTGAAAGACAAATTTACTGGATCGAAAATGACTTGTCTCTATTGTTGTCATCAACAAAAGAAGAAAGCTTCAAGAGTTCTATAATTTACAGTCTAAAACAATGTTCCCTGGAAATGATCGTCTTTGATAATTTTTTGCAGCAGATGGTTCAAAAAATTAATTCATTCTGCTGCTTCAGAAGTTGTGATGGACAAGAAGCATCGAATGTCGTTTAGATAACGATGAACTTCGATAGTAGTTCGCTTAAAGCTCTCTCAAAAACAAGCATATTGACACTATTTTTGAAATGATATGTTTAAAAAAGTTTGTCATTATACAGATAATTCAATATGAGTCATTTATCATTAGAAAATTTTCCAAGAATACTATCTATTATTGTCAATGTCGAAAATTCCGAAGTTAAAGAATGTGAAAGAACCGTTAATACGGAGAAGCTGCAGAATGCCTACCGAGCAGAATTCAGAATTTAAAAAATCCGATCGGTAAACAATGGATTACCTCACTAACATAAACTACCGTTAGAAAATAGTGTACTACGCACAACCAAGTTAAACGAACCTGCAGAATTTACACAGAATACAAACCTTGACTAAGTATGTTAGAAGAAGGAAACAAAATTCTAATAAAGAATTTACAACTACAAGCAGAATTAAAACAGAATTTTGTGTCATGAGAGACAACGTACTCCATTCTGGTCGCTTTAAATTCTGCTTAGAATTCTGTAGATTGATCGAGATTAAATGACACTCGTCCTGAAGATTGGGTTCCAATTATGTTTTCGACATGTATTGCAAATAGTACCATGTAGCGCGTTTTAATATGCCACAAAGGATGACACATGCGACATATTTTACACTAGTGTGCAGAAATACTCGAAACATGTTTCATTCATAACTAACTAATTCAAATTATTAATATTTCTGTGTGTACATCATGATCGTATCAAAATACAGAAGTGTTTCGAGCTATTTCATTTTTGGCTAAACAAAATTAGTAGCGTGTACGGTTTATTTTTAGATAAATATATGAATTCCAAGATCTAAAAGTTTTCTGAACTAAGAGAATTCGACATATTTCACATCGCACGTATTATTTTCTTTATCACATATGTTGATTGATATTATAGATTTGATAAAAACTATTTCTCAGAAATCACTTCTGGAGAGTAATTCTGATTAAAGTATTACGATATTGATGAATTTTTCTCTCTGGCAAAATATAACTAACTAATCAATCTTTGAATATCAGTCTGTAAAAACTTCATGCCATTATCATACCTATCAGATGACATAATCATTGAACCCTGATCTACAAAAGTTTTAGAATCTTTTGGATTGGAAATATTTAGAAGTTGATCAAGTCTTTCTATTTGTTTCCATTCTAGTTGGCTTGAATCAATGCCATTTAATTTCAATTTCAATTTGAAAAATAATGACATTCAATTAAAAACTGAAATCGAGGTCTACAGCACCTCTAGAATTAATATTCGCGTTAAATAGTCATAGACCCTCGTTTTTATTCGGTTGTTGAATCTTGGAAATCTAAGAATTTTTAGAATCATTCATTACTATAAATATCCACAGACCGCTTAGATCTACCATCGAAATAAAGGAATCTATGAGGAATGAATCTCTTGTAAGTGAGATACGTTTATATGTATAGTAATACCTAGTGCGTTCTAATTGAAGAATTTTTTTAGTCACAACCCATGACTGTGATCGTGGCCGTGAATCACAGAAATTAGTTTCAGTTTGTTAGGGCCTCATGATATAAATTATAGGTATCATTGACAAAGGTTCAATATATCAATTCTATGAGTAAAAGCGACGAGAATGTGTCGAAGCGAAAGAAAAGAAAACAAAATTTCCAGTAAATATTCTGTTGTTTTATAATTCTATGTTTTCGAGAGCATAGAATTCTACAGAATTTTAAGCAGAATTCAAACAGACCAGAATGGAAGACGTTGTCTCTGATGATGCAGAATTCAGCAGAAACGTAACGAGAATTTAAAGCGACTATAATGGAATACGTTGTGTTTCATAACGTAGAATTTTAAACAAAATTTAAACAGGCCATAATGGAATCTGTTGTCTCTCATAACACAGAATTCTACAAAATTCTAAGTAGAATTTAAAGCTACTAGAATAGAGTACGTTGTCTCTCATGACACAAAATTCTACAGAATTCTAAGCAGAATGTGAACAGGTCCTAATTGAATACGTTGTTGTGAAGTGTGATCCTCACGTGAAATGTAAGATGACAATGATTACTAGAATGATCTCTTCTTTTTATTTTGCAACAGACGAACTAATATATATAAGAAACAAGTGGGAAAAATCCATAAGATGGAATATTCCCTAGGTGATGATAACGAGAAGGAAAATCACCTGTGAAATATCAAGAGAAAAGGAAATAATACATAGAACGAAGAAAAGGAAAAAAGTGGAGACCGAAAGGAAAGAAGAAGAAAACGAAAGGAAAAATCCATCACACATCGAATAGTAGCATGAATAACAATAGAATAACAGAAGAGAGGAGATAACATACTACTACTTCACAGTTGTCTCTCATGATACAAAATTCTACAGAATTTAAAGCAAAATTTAAAGAGACCATAATTGAATACGCTGTCTCTCATGACACAGAATTCTATTTAAACAGACCAGAATGGAATACGTCGACCGCTACATTGTCTAAAGTTTATGTTGCGGAACATAGAATTCTATTGAGATATAAGGAGATAACAACAGAATTCTGGTGAGTGATAACCAACTCGTTTTAAAAAAATCCGTAAGTTCACAGAATTCTGAATTCTGCTTGGTAGGCATTCTGCAACTGCTGATTATGGATAGAGTAAATGCTAAAAGACGATTGTAAATAAACTCTTAGAAATAGCAATAGCATATAGACATTGATCTATATTGATTGTTTTAATAAAATCGAAGATTATGACAAAAAAAAGTCACGTAAAACCTTTCATATATACACTGTTGATAACTTCTCTTACATTTTTTATTGTGTTTCATACATTCGGTAGGTGTCATATGCATTTTTCAATATATTGTATTATGCTATAGATAATAATGTATAGCGTAGCATCATTTAAAATATAATAATAAATCTTGTTTTCTTTAGGAAAGTAGTTACACAACGATTTAACAATATCGTAGAATATTAAAACTCAGAAATAGTTAGAATAAATTTAAAATATTTTTTTTCATCAATTTGCTTGATATTTTAGAAAATATTAATTTCGTTTTTAGTAAATTTTATATATTAAAGCATTAAAATATTGAAGTTGTTTTTCTAATTGGATATAATATATATATATATATATATTGTTTGTCAAAGCAAATTCAAAATAAGAATAAATTATAATTGTGAAGTAAAAACATAATAAAAATACTAGAAACTGACTTATTGCATTTCATAATGAATAGAAAAGATGATCTTTCAAAGCATTTCGAATTTTGTGTAATCTATTTTTGTTTGAAACAAAATACATTTGACATTTCTATTCTTTATGAAGTTCTGCATCATTTATTTCTTTTTCAAAACATGAAAATTTTCATCAAAACATTAATTATATAAAAGATTTGCTTGTAAAAAAAGAATTCATCTATTTTGTTTGTCTAGAGAAACTAACTTTTTATTCAGAATATGATTTTAAGACATTATTCTAGATCCATGTATATTTAACAAAGAAAAAATAACAAATATTTGAATCGTGTTATCTTGATAATTCTATTTCTTTACGTATTACGATAAATATGTCGTTATTACATTTAAATGTATAGTTAAGCATTTATGGAAGATAACAAAAAAAAATTTGTTTAGTACATCGCTTGAGAAATCATAACTCTATAGAAAGTCACATATCTATGGAATCGGACTTTCTGTTCGACATTGAAGAAGAAAAATAATAGTGATGGAATCAGTTCAGTTTCAGAAAAAACACGAATCGATGGAATCTCTATTATAAACCCATTTGTGGCTAAAAACAATTTCATATCCAATTGAATCGTCATTTACTGAAAATGTAGGAGAGAGTCGACAGTGTAAGCGTTACAAAGTAATCCACGAGTAACCAAAGATTATCGAAACGAGAGGTTAGACAAACAAAGTCTGTTACTTTTTCCACCAAGTCTGGTTTCATCAAGTCACTGCTATTAGGATCTGACAAACAGAATTGAGACTATCAATAATAAGTGACTAGCACAAATTTTCAAAATGCACTAGCTGAGAAATGAAAGATCGACCTTTAAAGTCTCAGTTTTTACGATTAGAATGCAAGGCTACAAAAACCTGTGACAATAACAAATTTTTGGCAGAATATCATATTCATATCTGACATATTCTCGGATTTCAAACCCATATGACTCCTTCCTACTTTCGAAACTCAAACATCAACTATACGAAGCTGATAAGAAAACTTTTAG